GAGAGAGAGAGAGAGAGAGAGAGAGAGAGAGTTGCATGGAGCCCAAAAAGAGAGACTATTGGGTCATTGGTATTGGTTTAGTGGATTGGGCCCAATTACGGCCCATATAAGTACATGGTTTTGGGTTGCTGAATTTTTATTTGGATTTAAAGTGTATTTATTACATTGTGAGTTGGTGAGATTTGAGCATAAAACATGAACATGTTCAAGTGATGGTGGTGGTGATTATGTGGGCCGTTGATGTTTTTTTTTTATGAGATCTGAACCGTCCATTACCCCACAATAAAAAGAACTTAAATATTTCCAATGTTTGTTACTTGGAATTCATTATTTATGTTTTGAACTTTAAAAATTTTGAACTTCTTATGAATTATGACTAGAGTTATATCAAATATATGTACGTATATTTTTATATGTTGATGCAATTAATATAATAATTAAATCTAAAGGGATGGTGTAAGTAAAACGGGTGAAGACCTACAAGTACATTTACTTACACTATTAAATGGATAGAAATTATATATGTTTTCTTAATATTGTCATTAATTATCTTAATCATCATGTGGGATTTAAAACTAAAATACATGGATTAATATTTTTTAAAAGCAGCATTACACCTATGAAGAGATAATTGACTTGGGATTTAAGTTAATGCAACTGTCTAAACTTAATTGGCTAGTCTAATTATTATCGAATAATTTAACTTAATTTATAGATTAAATTAATTGTTCCAAGGTCTGTTCATATTTAATTCTACTCTGTTTTGTATTAATGATTAAACCCACACTGATATTTCTTGATTAAAAATAAAAATTGAACTGCTACCAATATGTGTCGGTGGGTTTTTATTATTTTTATTGTTTTGCTTTTGTTTTTTTTTTAATTTTAATTTTATCACTTTTTCCCCAATAAAAAAATAAAAAATGAACAGAATTCAAGAATTTTTTATATATTTAAAATGAAAGTTGTGATATAATTTTATTTTAATAATGATCCGAAAGGAAAACAAAATCCAGAAAGAGAAAAAACTCATTAATTACTGCCCAATGAAGACACTACAGACTTGGGCATGGAAGTCATGACCACGCTCACAAAAAAGTGTATAGAAAAACAAATTAAAAAAAAATTAATTATATAAATATATATTAATTAATAACCAAAATTAAAGCTATTAAGATTCGAGAAAACATTGCGTCGTCGCAGTGTCTCTATCTTGAATGCGAGCAGATCTCACCGGAGGAGAAATCCGAAGAAGAAGATGAATGACCGATCCTTCCCGGCTTAACGGCTCCCGCCAACGGAATTTCTGGCGAAGGCGCCGCCGCAGCTCCGGCGACGGTAAACGGAAACGGAGCGGCGAACGGCGTGGGTAACCAGAAAGCTCAAGTGTACAACCCTCCGGCGAACCGTCCGGTGTACCGTTCGCAGCCATACAGCCGCCATCACCACCACCGAACGCGGCCGAGCTGCCGCCGCATCTGCTGCTGCTGCTGCTTCTGGTCGATACTAATCTTGCTGATCCTCGCTCTCATGGCTGCGATCGCCGCGACAGCTGTGTACGTGGTCTACCACCCGCGTCCGCCGTCGTTCTCCGTCCCGTCGGTCCGAATCGGCCGATTCAACCTCACAACGGCCGCGGATTCCTCCGTCTCCCACGTGTCTTCGCTCTTCAACTTCACATTGGTCGCCGAAAATCCGAATCAGCACCTCACATTCTCGTACGATCCCTTCACCGTCGAGGTCTTCGCCGCCAAATCTGGGGTCCTGGTCGGGAACGGCACCGTCCCGGCGTTCTTCAGCGGCAGCGGGAACAAGACGTCGTTCCGATCGGTGGTCGCGGCATCGACGGAGGCGCGAGATCTGTTCCCGGACGAAGCGCGTGAACTGAAAACGGATCTGACGCGCCAGCGCGTGGGGATAAGGATCGGGATGAAGACGAAGGTGAAGATGCAGATGGGGAAGCTGAAGAGCAAAGGCGTGGAGATCAAGGTCTCCTGCGAAGGATTCGAAGGGGCGATTCCCAGAGGCAAATCTCCAACCATTGCAAGTGGGAAATCCAAGTGTAAGGTCGATCTCAGTGTCAAGGTCTGGAAATGGAGTCTCTAAGCTAATTTTGATTGAAATTTGGGATCGTTTTATAACTTTTTTGGGTTTGTAAAAGAATTTAATTATCACAAATTTTAGTATAATTTCCGGATAATTCTGTCTTATTTGTTCTGAATTCTGATCAAGTGTTTTTCGTTGTTCTGAATTATTATTTTATTATTAACACTGAAAATTAATCCAGCTATTTGAAAATATTAGTCAATAATTAAAGAGAGTAATTGCATGACTAAATTTGGTTTAGGATCATATTATATGAAAATAGGATTGCATCCCTCAATTATTCAAAATTGGATGACTCAATCGTATAGAAGATTCTCACCCTTCTTCGTTTGGAAAAAATATTTACATTGATTTCTCCAATTTTCTAAAAGGTGAAAGATGTAATCAGTTAAAAATCAGGTAAATTTTTTAATATAAAAAAATATTCATAATTTTATCCATAGTTTTTAGGGTTCAAGTTTTAATAGAAAATCGAACAATTAATTAGATTTGATATAATTTTTACAGAACTAAATAAATCGCTTTCAAAATTGGATTTATTTTTTATATTTAATATAATAATCTAAATGTCCATTGAGCGTGCACGTGGCATTCTGGTGCCATCAATCACTGCAGACGAAGGCAGTTGGAATTTAGTCAGAATTTTTTTCTACCGTCTTGTCCTTCCAAATTGAGGTCTCATCGAATATAACTCTTCAATATCTTTTATTTTTTCACAATATTTCATATACCTTTTAAATTGATCCTGCCAAATAAAATCATATATATATATATATATATATCTAAAAAATCATATATATATACATCAATCACTGCAGACGAAGGCAGTTTGGTTTCAGTTTTGTTTCTGTTTAATTCGGTTTTTAACAAAAATATTTTATATTTTTTTAACAAATTTTAGGTTTTTCAATTTTTTTTTAAAAAATAGGTTCTAGTCTAACAAATTCGAATTTCTAAAAAATTTATAGTCCGAAAATTTTGGATCCTTTGGTTCGAGAATGGTACCAGCTTTTATGTTCAGTATAACTCGATTTTAAAGTATTGTACCGAAACGTCCAACCCTACTCTATATTGATTAGAGTCTTTTCGTTCAATCGGTTATTGAACCAGAGAGACAAACTAGGATTGAGAATTAGATCGAGCAAAACGGAGCATTTTATCGAGAGTTAAAGGGTGATTAACTAAATTCGACGACGTTTGTTTGTTAAGTTAGTCATCGACTTCCTTTTTCATCGGTTTTCTAGTTTATTTGTTAAGTTAATTATCGGTTTCTAATTGAAATAATCGAACCAAATATAACCAAATCGAATTAAAACTCGAAATAGTCACCCCTCGTAATTTTGGTGAAAGTGTGGTAAAGATTCCATATTTCTTAGGATGTTTTCCCCTTCAGTGTAACAGATCGTTGACGAAAAAACAAGACGATATCTTACCCGAATCGTTGACTCGTTGATGGCTCGATTGACTCGGCCGAGTTGCCGGCATGGCCGCGCTAAGGAGAAATATGAGAGTGAACACCAAATTGTATTTGAATATGCGATTAACATTAATTTAAAAGAACATGATATATAATTTTAAATCTCCGTTATTGTTTTGTGTCGGGGATAATATGATGAAAATATTTTTTACACTGTGAATATTGATATTCATAATACGCATATTAGAATTAGTTATCATATTTAAAAAATATTAAAATTACAAGGTTATTTTTATCATTTAAAAAAAAGAAAAAAAGTATTAGTAAAATTCTTACAAGGAACTCAACTCAACTCCAACAACCAATCTCATTTGTCACTTTACTCAATTCAGCTTGTCCGGGCCCACAAGTTGCCATCTCAGAACGAAAACTTTCCTCCCCACTTTCCCAGCTTTTCTCGGAATCCAAACAGCGACCCATCATTTTGATCTCACTGTTCTTTCGATAGAAGAATCAACAAATCCCCAAATGGGTCGATCTTGGGGTTCTCTCTTTTGGTTAATCACATCTATAACAATCTCTTGCATCGCATCATCACTGCAAGATTCCTGTCGCGAGGAAAATCGGAGATCCCTGAATCTTTTTCGGGCGGACCGATCGCCAGATTCCGACCAGCCTTACCGAACTCGTTTCCACTTCCAGCCTCCAGAAAATTGGCTTAATGGTAATCAAGTTTTCGACTTTGTATGTTTCTAATTGATAAGATACTGTTTCTTTACATATGCATCAACATGTGCATGTGTATAACTATATATGCATGTTTTTATGAAGTATACAGGTAAAGTTATCAGCTTTCTCATCTTCGTGTTCATCAACCCTTAAGAGATTGTCTACAGACTACAGATATGATCGTTGACCTAAAACAAACCCTAATGTCGCCTTCGAATTTGGTTATGTTCTTGAAATCTTTGAATATCTGATCCATTATCGTCTGTGATTGTGGTTGTGATTGTACAGTTGTTTTTGAATTCTATTAAAGCTTCGACGTTTACTGGTTTCTAAATCGAGGGACTTAACCATTTTTACTGGTTTCTGTCTCTTGCTGGTAAAACTTGCTCGGGATTATCATCTCACGGCCTTTCAATTACTACAAATCTGAAGACCCCAATGGTAAAAAAGGAACCTTTAAGATTCCCCTGTTTCCAATTCCATGCCCTTTACTTAGATCGAAACTAAGAAAGTGATGACTGTTTTATATCGTTGATGTTTCAGGGCCGATGTACTACAAAGGGGTTTACCATCTGTTTTACCAGTACAATCCCTCCGGTCCCTTGTTCGGCGACGTTATGATATGGGCACACTCGGTTTCGTACGATCTGATCAACTGGATCCAGCTCGAGCACGCCCTTTATCCCTCGGATTCGTTTGACATCAACAGCTGCTGGTCGGGATCTGCCACGATCCTCCCGGGAGGCAAACCGGTAATTATGTATACCGGTATTGACTCCGGAAACCATCAGGTCACGAATATCGCAGAACCAAAGAACATTTCCGATCCTTTGCTCAGGGAATGGGTGAAGTTTGAGGGCAATCCGGTTATGGTTCCTCCTGTTAACGTCAGGGTTGATGGGTTTCGTGACCCTACAACAGCATGGCAGGGTCAAGACGGGAGATGGAGAGTCATCGTTGGAGCCGAGGCCGTCAATAGTACCAAAGGGATGGCATTGTTGTATCGTAGCGACGATTTTATCCGCTGGACGAAGTTTCCGGACCCTCTTTTCGAGTCTGAGGTTACCGGAATGTGGGAATGTCCTGATTTCTATCCGGTTTCCGTCAACGGGACAAACGGAGTCGACACTTCAGTGAACAACGCGCACGTCAAGCATGTGTTGAAGGCGGGATACGGAGAACACGACTTCTACGTCATCGGTACATATTTCCCGGAGACTGAGAAGTTTGTTACGGATTCCGATTTCACGAATACGGTCTCAGATCTGAGATACGATCACGGGAAATTTTACGCGTCAAAGACGTTTTTCGACAGTGCTAAGAACCGGAGGATCCTGTGGGGTTGGGTGAATGAGTCGGACAGTAAAGAAGATGATCTTCACAAAGGATGGTCCGGTCTTCAGGTAAGACAAATCCATATATCTTTCATATGAAAATTTAAATATTGGTAATCAAGAACCCATTCTTTTATGTTTTCTACATGAATTTTAGCAGATTCCCTGCACTGGTAACAAAGGGCTAAAGAAAAGAGTTCTTGTTTCAGTCCGTGCCGAGAAAGATTTGGCTGGATCAAACCGGGAAGAGACTTGTGCAGTGGCCAGTCGATGAACTCGTGAATCTCCGGGGAAACCGAGTCGCCGTCCATGGTGAGAAACTCGAGGGCGGCTCGGTCCTTGAAATTCCCGGCATCACTGCTTCACAAGTGAGCCCCCTTTCCGCCCGGTTTCTTCTGAAATATTTTGAAAATTTTCTGGCCCTAACGATCTCTCCCCCCCCCCCATATACACACACATAAGGCCGACGTGGAAGTAGTTTTCGAGCTACCCGATCTCGGAGATGCTGCAGAATACCTAGAAGAAAACCAAGTGGATCCCCAAGAACTATGCGACCGTTACAGGGCCTCGAGCAAAGGCATTTTCGGGCCGTTCGGAGTGTTGGCGCTGGCGAGCGACGACTTATCGGAACGGACAGCAATCTTCTTCCGAGTCTTCCGCCGTGCGGATGGATATTCGACCTTGATGTGCAGCGATCATAGCAGGCAAAATCATTACAACATACAAAACCCAACACAAAATATGTCCTCAATTACAATTGTTCGTCTCTTTTTTCAGGTCATCATTGAGGCACCATCTCGACAAAGCCACGTTCGGAACGTTTCTTGACATTGATCCGAGATACGAAAACATCTCTTTACGATGCTTGGTCAGCCCACTAACCTCTCTCTATATATATATATATGTGTGTGTGTATATATATATACACTAAACGCATTGGTGATATTCAGATCGATCGCTCGGTGATAGAAAGCTACGGAGGAGGGGGGAGGAGTGTGATAACAAGTAGGGTTTATCCGAAACTGGCGATTGGGGAAGAAGCTCATCTTTATGTGTTCAACAATGGAACTAAGAGTGTCGTTCCATCTTCTTTGGAAGCCTGGAGCGTGCAAAATGCCCAAATCAATTCCATTGAATTTGTTGCAGAATTTTTAAATATGTAACCAAATCAGACCATCATTCATCATCCATTATATATGAATCAATGATAAAGTGTGTGTAGGCGGAATTTATCTAACGAACGCTTACGAAGAGTATCAGTCGGAGTTTTTCACGTTAAAAAAATACATAAAAATCGAATTTGAACCGAACCAAACAAAAAAAATAACAAAA